TTCTCCCTCAGTCTCAGCACAAGTAAGGATTCACCATTTTAGATTTTGTGTCTTATGTCGAGAAACCTAACAATATTTACTTTGTAATAAAGTTGGTAGAATTACCGACAATATGTAAAGTAAAAGGACACAAGTGCAACTAATGTGACATTTTAATGTGCAACGTTTCGCTTCTCCAGGATAAAGCTCCTGGAGTGCGAAACGTAGCACAATAAATGTCACATTTTAGTTGCATTGTGTCTTATTACTAGGTATAAATGACCATAATTTTTAAAGGGGTTGGACCGATAAGCCAGCGGAAGGCCTCGTCAGATAGACCAAAAGCCAAAGGCGGGTATCATCTGACTATAGGCAACCGCGTCCAGGAAACAATGTCCTGTTATCCGTGCGAACCTTACCTAACCTAGATCCTGACCTTTTACTTTAAATATTTACTTTGCTCTTCACAAACTCACAGTGGCACAGTCTGTGTGCCAGCAACCAGCAGTTGGGCTCCATCACTTACCCATATAGCACCAGTCTTTCTTTTACGCATTTTCGATTGAATTTGGTTTATACATTTCAATGAAAAATGTTAAAACCCTTCTTTTCAGAAATTCTGTACCTCGAGCCATGACATTTCTCATTTTCATCGCCGCTTTTTGCAACTTCTAATCTTCATTCATTTAGGGGGTGAATAGGGGCCCTTAAGGGGTCGAGGTGCCTACAAGTATTCCTAGTCGTCATAAAAAGCACGACTTTGTAGGTGTTGTAGTAGTTGTAGTGACATTTACGGAGCATTTTGAGTCACAGTGTCAGGAGCACCTGCAGGTAGATGGTCTGATGGATGAAACGTGACTTGTAAATGGTCTAATTAGGACAGAAACGTCGTCAAAAACTTCTCTCTCCTGACTCACGAAATCGTAATGACACGACTGCAAACAAACCATACCACGGGTGGGGTTAGAACCCGCAATCAGAGTCATAAAACTCCAAAACCACACGTTAGCCACCGAGCCAGCTAGCTACAATAAGATTCATCCAACTAGGTATATTTATACACCATAGGAAGGTCAGCAGAGGCACAACTGTGACCACAAATGACTCTGATCACGGGATCTAACCCCACCAGTGGTATGGCTTCTCTCTCCTACATGCGAATTATTTACGTAATGAAGTATGTGTATCCCAGCCTCACTACGCAAAATTATCTCATTGCAAATACATTTCTGGAAAGATGAGACCCAAACACCTGTTGAACACTGTAAAACTCACTGCTTAACTGTGAGGCTTAACAGATTCAACACTTTTTATATGCAAATTTATGTAGCCCATGAAATCAGAACAAAAGCAGCTAGAAGTACACTGAGCTTTACTCTGTAACACAGTAGAACAACAGTCCCTAACAGTGGACATCACAGATCTAACCCTAAATTATATCTCTAAGGTTTTAGTCAAGATGTTTATCTGTGAATTATGAAATTGATCCTGATAGAGAATGTATATCAAACTCGTCTCTGTAGCCCCATTACATAAGGCAAGATTCCTCGATGATTATAATGGGTTCTTGATCCAAAGAATTGAACCTAATCTCTTCTTCCATGGCTCCTGCCTCTTTACTGGAGGTGTTGGCATATATTTATTGTGCTTCTTCGTGAGTTTGAGCCTGATGGCAGGACATGTCATATCACATCTCTTTGTGGTCACCATGGACACAGTCTGAAGTTTTGATATAAAGAAATATTGTAGCTGGAACTGCTCTTGGATGTTCAGGTCTCGTTCTGTATTACATATACACCGAACTGAGGAAAAATTATCTCTTCAATGGCGAGGACGTTGCTTGTAGTACTGATATGACAGTTTGATGGCGTCACCTACGTTGTTTACAGTGAGAATGAAATGGAAGGAGACGTTTTGCTGAAGTTCAGGAGTTCGTTGCTAATATTGTGATCTCTAACGTTAACTTTTTGGTGTTAACTGAAAGTAAAAGAAATCTGTTCTATACTGTTTTCTAAATTCTTTCTATAGGAAAGAAATTTCCAGTTGGTGTGTTATTTAAAATATGAGCGAGAAGGCATTAGGTACAGCATTACAATAATTCGTTACATGTCCAGGTCTTGTAGCAGATGGTGTCAAGGAAATATGTTTATTGATGCGCGAACGATCCTAGAAGTCTTGTTGGCGCTCAAGTACAGTTCAAGGTCAAGATAAAGCGAGGAGTCAGACACACCAGAAATGACTGACAAAATTCCCCTGAACTACAATAAGCCACTATAAATATACTAATATCGGCATCAGGCTGCCTGCAACATCATCATTCAAGGAAATAACCATCACCTTACTAATGCCTGTTTTCCTAGCTCGAACCTTGTCAAAGATTCGTTTCAGGTATTAAAAGTGTACACATTAACACACCAGACTCTGGTTAAAGGGGGAGAGCAAATTAAAACCCCACAAATTATGAAATAAATATTCAGTCAGTAATTGAAAATTCACTTTACACACGCCCCCAGTCAATGCAACAGAACATAATAAAATTTTACGAACTTCCTGTCCACTTGGTCCACAGCACCCAGGATAACTGAAAAGATACAGAACACAGACTAGCCTACTGGTTGAACATGACAGGATAACTTATGCAACATCAGACCTTGCTTCTGGATCTGCAGACAGACTTATAACATACATCCACTTCAGAAGATTATAGATTAGCCCTAAATATCCTATGGAGATTGAGTCCAGACAAAGTAATCATCTCACATTCAATAAAATTGCAGATGAGATGACTGAGAGCAGGTGTAGAAGATTACTAAACACACAAGATATTCACAACAGCTGCACAACCCAGAGCAACAAAGGTTTACAGCGGGTTGCACATTTCCTTCGCAATTGCTGGACCATTAAAACATGTTTTTGGATGAAATGGAAGTACATATGAAATGCAGATTTAGTATACAGAGACTTTACAAAAACTTTCTACAAGTAAGATAATGGTGTAATAGAACATAAAAAAAACTTGCAAATAAATAACTAATAATGGGAAAGTCTTAATTTTAATTTCTAACAAATCGGACGCAAAAATTTATAGTCAACCAGTAAATTCAGAGGTAAAAAAAAAATGATTCTCGTTGCACATAACTCGCTGCAATAATCTCATATACAACAGAGATGTATGTTAATGAACAATACTAGAGTTTATACGAGAGTGGCATCCACTGAAGACACAACCAACCTCCAGGGTGATATTAACCAGGTCTTCCACTGGCATCCACTGAAGACACAACCAACCTCCAGGGTGATATTAACCAGGTCTTCCACTGGCATCCACTGAAGACACAACCAACCTCCAGGGTGATATTAACCAGGTCTTCCACTGGCATACCACTGAACACACAAACCCAAACCCCCAGGGTGATATTAACCAGGTCTTCCACTGGCATCCACTGAACACACAACCAACCTCCAGGGTGATATTAACCAGGTCTTCCACGGGCATCCACTGAAGACACAACCAACCTCCAGGGTGATATAAAACCCGGTTCTTCCACTGGCATCCACTGAAGACACAACCAACCTCCAGGGTGATATTAACCAGGTCTTCCACGGGCATCCACTGAAGACACAACCAACCTCCAGGGTGATATTAACCAGGTCTTCCACTGGCATCCACTGAAGACACAACCAACCTCCAGGGTGATATTAACCAGGTCTTTTCCACTGGCATCCACTGAAGACACAACCAACCTCCAGGGTGATATTAACCAGGTCTTCCACGGGCATCCACTGAAGACACATCCAACCTCCATGGTGATATTAACCAGGTCTTCCACGGGCATCCACTGAAGACACAACCAACCTCCATGGTGATATTAACCAGGTCTTCCACGGGCATCCACTGAAGACACAACCAACTTCCATGGTGATATTAACCAGGTCTTCCACGGGCATCCACTGAAGACACAACTAACCTCCAAGCTGATATTAACCAGGTCTTCCACTGGGGCCACTTAAGACACAAACAACCTCTAAGCTGATATTAACCAGGTCTTCCACTGGGGTCACTGAAGACACAACCAACCTCCAGGGTGATATTAACCAGGTCTTCCAATGGCATCCACTGAAGACAACCAACCTCCAGGGTGATATTAACCAGGTCTTCCAATGGCATCCACTGAAGACACAACCAACCTCCAGGGTGATATTAACCATGTCTTCCAAATGGCATCCACTGAAGACACAACCAACCTCCAGGGTGATATTAACCATGTCTTCCACTGGCATCCACTGAAGACACAACCAACCTCCAGGGTGATATTAACCAGGTCTTCCACTGGCATCCACTGAAGACACAACCAACCTCCAGGGTGATATTAACCATGTCTTCCACTGGCATCCACTGAAGACACAACCAACCTCCAGGGTGATATTAACCATGTCTTCCACTGGCATCCACTGAAGACACAAAACCCAAACCCCCAGGGTGATATTAACCAGGTCTTCCACTGGCATCCACTGAAGACACAACCAACCTCCAGGGGATATTAACCAGGTCTTCCACTGGCATCCACTGAAGACACAACCAACCTCCAGGGTGATATTAACCATGTCTTCCACTGGCATCCACTGAAGACACAACCAACCTCCAGGGTGATATTAACCAGGTCTTCCACTGGCATCCACTGAAGACACAACCAACCTCCAGGGTGATATTAACCAGGTCTTCCACTGGCATCCACTGAAGACACAACCAACCTCCAGGGTGATATTAACCATGTCTTCCACTGGCATCCACTGAAGACACAACCAACTTCCAGGGTGAACTCAGATGTTATCAAATAAAGAAGCCGTTTCGTCTTTCCTCATCAGACACAACTTACTCGCTAACAAACATCAGAAACCTTTCCAGTAAGCATTGTGTTGGTAAACTAACTGATCTATGTAGAGGAAATAATTCTGCGCTGACTAAATTAGTACTGCGCATTGTGAATAAAACCAACAGTCACAGTGAAAAAACCACTCACCTGATGCAGGACAGTAGGTTTAGAATGATCAGATGTAAACACCTCGCTGTCCCTGAGAACCAGGCTGTGTCTGTCACTACTGCCATCTTCTTCAGCTGACTCTCTTTTTAAAAGGGATTCATCTAGCCCCTGTACAGATTCTGAAGGATCTCCGCAGGTTGTCAGCTGCGACTTCTGCACCGCAGCCATTGTACCTTCCCTCAACACTGCACGAAACAAAACAAAACTGAATATAAAGAGATGAACTATAAAAACAATAACCCTTACCTGCTAAATTGAGAAGAAAATAACCTACATTAAATTTAAAAAATAAAAGCAAAAATAAAGTACAAATAAGAAAAATATTATACAAGATCAAATAAAACAAATAAGTGGAAGTGGAATAAAATACAGACGATGGAAGACACACAAATATACAACATAACGTGATACTTGACAACGTTCCAGAGGTGTTAGTGACCTGTGAAGCCCAACTCATGGGTCAAACATCTTTCTTTTTCCATGGCAAATATGTAAAGCTATACAAAAAATACCAATACAATATAGACAATAAAATGGTGCCGGGTCACCAAAATGGAAGAGACCCGGGCCGGGATACCATTCCGGCGAATCAAATAGAAATACAAATAATAAAAATATACAGTGGAACCTCAAATTTCGAACTTAATCCGTTCCAGGAGCTATTTCTAAATTCGAAAAGTCTGAAAATCGAAGCAATATTTCCCATAAGAAATAATGGAAATACAATTAATCCGTTCCAGAAACCCAAAAATATTCACCAAAAAATACATTTTATAGAGAATAATTACAGTTTTACATACAACAAATACTATAGTGTTCAGTTATGTATATAAATATAAAATGACATTTTCACTTACCTTTATTGAAGATTGGTGATGGCATCTGGAAGATAGGGAGGAGAGAGGGAGTTGGGGTTAATGTTTGGTAGGAGAATCCCCCTCCATGAGGACTTCAGGTAAAGTCCTCTCTGGGGTTACTTTCCTTCTCTGTCTTTTAATGCCACTAGGACCAGCTTGAGAGTCACTGGACCCCTGTCTCTCAAAATAACCGTCCACAGTCCTCTGTTTCTGGTGCCTCATTAACATTACCCTAAAATGGGACATGGTTCTGTCACTGAACTTGTTGCAAAGATGGCTTGTTTCAGCTTGCTCAGGGTGGTACTTCTCCACAAACATTTGGACATCAGTCCACTTGGACATCATTCCACTTTTGTATTATTTCCTTCTTCACATCTATGGCGTTTCTCACTTTCTTCACCACAGGGGCACCACTAGTAAGTTTCTTTGGGCCCATGGTAGCTTATTTCACAGTCCCGCAAGCACTAAACACAATGAAATAATCGTAAAATGTTTGAATGAGAGCGCAGGTTAGTGTTCACTCAAGCATAAACAAAGCTAGACTGGCTCACAGCACCTGCGTGGGGACGCAGAGTGGGCTGGCAGACAGGTCCAGTACCCGGTGGTCCGAAAATAGGTGCGCGTTCCATAATAGGGACAAAGTTGGTTCGTAAAAAGGGCTCTATTTCTGAAATGTTCGATATGTGATACGTTCGAATTTTGAGGTTCCACTGTATATGAAAAAAACTAGTAAAACAAATATTAATAGGCATTAAAATATGCCATGCGAGAGATTTCAGCCACCCAAATAATTTTCAAAAAGCTGATGAAGTTGTATCAAGCAAGTCTATGCTTGACAGAAATATATTGAATTATTATAATCAAAAAGAAGAAGCGCTAAGCCACAAGGGCTATACAGCGCTGGACAGAAATATATTGAAACAAGCTTCATAAAAATTAGTACAGATTTTAATATGAATATTATTTTAGAGTTACATTAATTACATTCTTTTATAATTAATAAAATTTGGGAAAACATTGAGGTCCTGGACACTCCCACCCACGTCATACTGGGACGACAGGTCCTTGATACTCTCACTCACGTCATACTGGGACGACAGGTCCTTGACACTCCCACCCACGTCATACTGGGACGACAGGTCCTTGACACTCCCACCCACGTCATACTGGGACGACAGGTCCTTGACACTCCCACCCACGTCATACTGGGACGACAGGTCCTTGATACTCCCACCCACATCATACTGGGACGACAGGTCCTTGATACTCCCACCCACATCATACTGGGACGAGTGTAATGTCATATGTGAGGTGATATCTCAGCCTTACAAGCCTGATCTATTATTTTTTCAGGTCGCATTCACTCCATCAGTGTCTTGCCAGAGGCGTGCCTACACTATATTTATAAAACTCCAACATTAACACCCCTCCTTCAGAGTGCAGACAATGTACTTCCCTGTACTTAAACTTACCCCATACATCTTATACCCCAGTGCCTGTATTCTCACTTGCCCATCTATCCTCCAACAGTCGTGTGGAAAATATTTAATTTTCCGAAGCTATAGTGCCTAATAGGTGTTTAATGTGTTGATGTTGGTCAAAAAATGTATTTAAAAATTGAAGAGAACCAACAGGGAAGCTCTGCGCCTGCGCTGATGGGCAGGGGGGAGGTCGAGACGGGGCATCAGGAGGCATTAGTGTTTTTGAATGGAGTTAAGAGGCTGGGACAGCATGGGACCAGGAAATTGGCATTCACTGCTGCCTAAGGATTAATATAGGCCTCACTTCGTAATAGGAAGTGTCGTAACTGTTCCTGGTGAAGAGTGAAGGAACGTGATTTACGGGACTGCTGTAATAAAGTGGCGAGTTTAGTGAATAGTGGTAAATGCCATGGAGAGTTTTCAGGGGAAAATACCCGTGAGTTAATAATCACTCATGGGTCTCAAATCTTAATAGAGCGACCTCTAATGTGTATAATAGTTATGAGACGTTAAACCGTATTTTGGGTTGTGAAATAATCAGTGATAATAACACTAAGTTACGGAATCGTTGAAGTGATATGAGCTGCCATTCCTAGAGCCCATGTTAACCTCGTCGTTCCTGTCCTGAGGATAGTGAAGTTTTTATGGAGTCAGGATTTCTAAACCGGGACAAACCAACGGATATCTCATCCTGCTGGAATAAGAACCGTATTGGTGTAGCAGGACATCGAAATGAGATGGTGGATGGAAGAAATAAGGAGCATCAATCACCCACAGTTAAGTAACCTTTCTAGTTATAGCAAACTGATACTGGCAAGTTAGGTATGTTGTAATTTGATAGGTTGTGGGTGATCCAGCTACATCAAATGACCACCAGAGAAATTCTGGTAAATGGTGGTATTATATACTAGTGTTTTCCATTGATGGATATATATGTGTGTCAAACCTATCCCCCCTTTTCCTACAGTCAAACCAATAATCTATACACTCCACAATTAATTAGGAGCACCGTACTTGTGGGTGCTATCCACTTCATACTGGTCTCAGACAAATATGGGTAATATTGTGAGGTGACCAGGGGTGCAGTGACCAGGGGTGGCTAAGTTTTCTCACATATCTACACAGGGTAACTACTGTAATCAATATATGGTTGTCGTCTCCCAATGAGATTACTTGTATGAATGTAATGTTGAGATTCATTCAGGTAACCCCTTATAAATTTTCCATATCTGCCCACTGGTCCTTCAAACCAGATGCAATCAGGCCCGGTGGCCTGGTGGCTAAAGCTTCCGCTTCACACACACGGAGGGCCCGGGTTCGATTCCCAGCAGGCAGAAACATTTCGACACGTTTCCTTACACCTGTTGTCCTGTTCACCTAGCAGCAAATAGGTACCTGGGTGTTAGTCGACTGGTGTGGGTCGCATCCTGGAGGACAAGATTAAGGATCCCAATGGAAATAAGTTAGACAGTCCTCGATGACGCACTGTCTTGGGTTATCCTGGGTGGCTAACCCTCCGGGGTTAAAAATCCGAACGAAATCTTATCTTATCTTAACTAAGTGACTGAAGGAAGTGGGTATAGGGTACACAAATTTAATTGATCGTTTGGTGGATGATAATTAGCCCAATTAATTGCTAGCACATGTGTGGCTAGGATTTATACAAGAGTAAAGTGCAAGAATTACTCTTATAAGGTGCGTGCTTAAGTTGCATAATCGGTGATTATTAATTCCCTAACCATGGCTGGGTATGAGGAAGTTAGTGCGGCTGGCAAGTCCATGGATGTCAAAGCAAAGAAAACATCGTTGCAAGCTCAGAAGGGTCATGTTACTAAATCATACAAGTGTATGGAGTTAATGGGACAAGAAACGGTGAACCCTGATGAATTAAAGTTACACCTTAGAAAATAGATATGAGTCATATAAATTGTGGTATAAAGACTGTGGAGAAAGATCTACTGGTGCAGATGATGCTGAAAGGGAGCAGCTGTTGGATCAATATTATGAAGTGGAGGGCAACATTGTGTCCTGTAAAACTTAGGCTTTGGATAGGGTAAAGGGTGTAAACAATGTTGTTGGTCAACCTAGTCAGGAAAATCAGAGGTGTCTACCAAAACTCCCAGAATTATGCATGCCTGTGTTTAATCTAGGAGAAAATTGGGAGGAGTTTTGGTCTATCTTTAAAGCAGTAGTACATGATAGGAGTGATCTTGCAAGTGTTACCAAATTATGCTATTTAAAGGGACAAGTTTTTTTTTATATTTTATTTAAAACATTACAATACAAGGTGGAAATTATATTAAAAGGTACACAAAATAAGTTAAATCACAAATTCCCAATTTACCCTTACAAAAATGATCACACCAGACAAAAGTGTTCTGTGGCCCGGTGGCCTGGTGGCCTGGTGGCTACAGCTCCTGCTTCACACACGGAGGGCCCGGGTTCGATTCCTGGCGGGTGGAAACATTCCGACACGTTTCCTTACACCTGTTGTCCTGTTCACCTAGCAGCAAATAGGTACCTGGGTGTTAGTCGACTGGTGTGGGTCGCATCCTGGGGGACAAGATTAAGGACCACAATGGAAATAAGTTAGACAGTCCTCGATGACGCACTGACTTTCTTGGGTTATCCTGGGTGGCTAACCCTCCGGGGTTAAAAATCCGAACGAAATCTTATCTTATCTGACACCCTATCACCACACACCATATACACCCAGTTATACCAGAGTTATATACCTGTGAAGGCTGAAACGTTTGTCACAATTTCACCCCCCCCCCCTCCCACAAAATATAACCAACACCAACCTGATTGCATTTTAACTTAACATTAAAGGATACATAATA